AATATGGATAGGCCATATTTATAAAAGTAAATAAATTAAGGAATTTCGGAAGGAATTTCGAAAGAAAAATACTTTTGGGACTTTGACGCTTAATGAGCCTCATTTTTACAGCCGACAATGTCTGCCAAATTTTAGACTTATAACTATTTAAAAGAGATTTGCGTTCCTTAAATTGCTCGTCTCCCTTTATTGCAGGCCAATTTCTTTTGTTCGTTCGCTGGACTTCGTTTACGATCAACAACATTTACGACCCTGTCTGCTGCCTAATGACTCGGCTAGTTAAATCGTTCCGACCATTAACACCGCTACCTGGATTCGACTCAATGCCTAAACCAAGAAAGAAGCGAATCCTAACGGTCGTTTTATCACGCGCCATGCCGACGACTGTGTCTCTCCGAGGAGACATCGCGACGAATTAATCGAGCAAATTGCCGCTGAATGTTAAATTGATATTGGTAAGAGTAAGCGAAACGCTGATACTGCATTTCGCGTAGTGCGTGCGTAAGCAAAACGCCTCGATCGACATAGTGCCCTCTCTCTGCCCCCGTGTTCAACGAACTTTCAATTAGCGTAAACAAAATCTTTTTGTCAATTATGGATTTCGAACGAGGCGCGAAATGGAATGGAATATCGTTGAGGAATCCTCGATAGATCCGATTTCGAGGAACCGAATTATATGATTCAATTTCAGCAACGCACAGGCTGCACACAACTGAGGACACTGGTCGAACAGAGGCCGACGCATTTAAAAAACAGAAGCAAACCAGCAGACCGGTTAGACATCAAGGAGATCAACCCAACGGTCGAGTAATCGAGTAAAATGAATCTTTCATGTCACACTTTCCTTCGGTCATTATCATTGTTCAAGCGAGATACGAATTGTTTGAAGCAGCTACCACGCATCGCGATATACCGATGTATGTACATGTATTTGGTATTAGACGCAGTATTTCGCGAAATACGAAAGTAGGATAAAATTCAAAAGAGAATCGTAGACTCACCTAGATAAAGTGCCTTTGAGAAGAGGATTCCTGTTGTCATAGTATCCGCCGGCCGATGACATCTTCAAGTAATCCAAGCAATAGGCACGTGTCATTTGGCACTAACACTACAAAACTGCATCACTGTCGCATGAACTGTTAACTTTCCATTCACCGTATCAACGTTGCATTCGGTTAACGGCGTATACGATGCATTATTTTTTAAAAGAAAAAAAACAACACCAAAAAAAAAGAAAAGATAATTAGAATTCACTGATAGATAGTAAAACAGTTGACACTCGCGTAGACACGTGTTACGGGAACGCGTAACATAACGGACTCGGTAAACACATTTTGCAAGTGTAACGAGATCCTTTGCAATTGTCCGACGAGATAACAACTGGATGATATTGTTAATAAAATTGCTAGTACGTCTCTCTAATTATCCACAATCCGGGTAGAATCTCTTATTCTTCTCGATAACTTGATCCGATTGTCCGCAACCGGTCAACCGCACTCCTCAACGATCGTCTTCTAACTGCCGGGCACTTGCCTAAACACAGAAACGCTCGTTTAACAAGTTGCTATTTTCACGCCCTCTTCAGGCTCTTTCAGGCTCTCTTCGGAAATACTTCCAAACTACCTGAAGTTCACAAGCCTGAACATGGCTGCTTACCGAGTAACCCCCACCCCAACTCATGCTTCAATTCTATTTACAAATTACTGTCAAAATTCTCGCAAAATAATTGTCAACGTTCGAAACAAACAATCCGTTTAATTATTATTCGCTTTTTTCGTTTGTCGCATTCGGCGGTTAGTTTTCTTTTTTCATTCGACCGTCGTGTCGCGTCGTGTCACGTCGAGATCGACATTATTACAAACAGTTGGCGCCAAAATATTGCTACGTACAATCCGCTCGAGTGAAAGTCCTTGCAGCAGCAAGCAGCAGACATTCGAGTAGGTCGCCGTGAATTTTCGTGTTTCTCATCGAACCTTTCAAACACATCAAACCTAGCAAACTGGAACTAAACGATTTGTCGTTCCCGCTTCGTAGATTGAGCAAACTGTCAGTTAGGATCGCCTCGCGACGACGCCCCGCAAACGATCGGAAAATAACGATTCACACGTGTTTTCCAGCGTAGAAACGTTAAGTGTCAAGTTTCTCGTTGAAAGTGGAACGTGCCAGGTGAGTCCATCAAGCACGTCGTTTATTTATAAACTAAGGGAACCCGGGAAAGAACGCAGGAGCGACGGAAGCCAACGAAGTGTCCCTCGCGTTTCGTTTAACGTTCGTAAACTACACTCGGCGCGTACTTCGAGGACCACGTGTTACTTGTCCGATCTTTCGATTGGTCGTACGATTTCAAGATGGCGCGACTATTGACCTGTCAATGCAAATTCACGATCCAATGCGCTCTTTTCTTTTTTTCGAAATTTCGAATGTCCTAGCCTGAAACTTTCATCGCTGATTGAGGAGCAAATGGAATTTGTTAAACTGTCCTTTTTTTTTCTCATCCTGCTGCAACGAATGAGAAAGTCTGAAACTTTGAGACGATGTTAAAAATCAAATAATAATCGTATTAAAATATTGCAATTGTACGAACATTTGAAAGAACAGCCTTATAAATGTATAATCACTGTTACAGACAAAAAAAAGCTATGTACCTAAAATATGTTATTCAGTACGCGAAGAATCATCCATTGCAACAGTATGTCATAAGCTATAATTATTCCTTTCTCTCACAGGTTCTGACTCGTCTATACACTTTCACTGTATCTTCTATGACTCTTGAATCAAATGCGCAATAAAATTGTCGACACAATAGCCCATAAGACGTGCATTTTTTCTTATCTCTGAATCATTATGTTTTTTTTTCTTTTTTGAGGATTATCTCTTAAGAAATAATTCATACCAAGACAAATTTAAACTATTAATAAAAAATTACATGGGGCACTTTTCATTGTTAAATTTTTATTAAAAACCTTGGTGTATTGTATTATATTAAATTGTGTATAATACAAATGTATCATGGTCCGCGAAGATATTCAATCACTCTATTTTTTCATAAAAATGATATAGACGTTCGATGATTCAAGTCAAAAGTTTGTAATATAACGAAAAAACATATTTTTTAAAAACTTAAAAATCAAAAAAATGTAAAAACTTTTTCCCCATCCTTGCAATTTGAGAATCGTATTGATCGAATGAATTAAAAAAACATGGTTACCCACTTTTTTCAACTGCAAACTAAGACGTTTCTGAAGGATGGGTAACGAGGCAAAAAGTCGGGGAGTAAAAGCGTTACATGATTCAAGGACGTACGCTAAGTGGGATCGTGATCCAGTCGATAAGCAGCTGTAGGAGCAACGAACGTTGTACCCTTACAGTTGGTGATTTTGTGCGCGGCACTGATCGAAGTAGAAAAAGCGCCCGGACTAATTATTATCCTGATCTACTCACGAAAAAAAAAAGAAAAAAAACAAAAAACGAGAGACTCAAACACTTACTGGAAAATCGGTACCGTAAGCGTTCCACTTCTCTTTCATTCTCTTTCTCTTTTTGTCTCTTTTCCTCTCTCCCTCGCTCGCTCTCTCTTCCTCTTACTCTTTCTTAAAAGAAAACCGCTCCGGAATTCACGTCTCGGAATGCGAGGCGACGAGACTTGGCTTAGCACGAACACAACCTGTCCACGCTATTTCCCCCACTGTGGATCTGCTGATCCTCCTAACTCGACATGCCCATCCCCACTCCCAAGTCTCAGCGATGCAAACATGATTGCACTCACACCGATAAATATACCATTATTTGCTACTTCGTATGACCGAATAGATGACGCGTCGTTTGCCAGTGTCTCTTATTATTCATTTACGTATACATATGACGCGTACGAATTTACCAGAAGCGGAAATTATTTCGCTGATTACCCACAAAACAATACTTATATGTTGTTTTTCCATAAAATTATAAAAAATATATTTTTCGTTACGTATATACGTGCTTCGTAAAAGTATTTCTCTTCTCTTTTCCTCTCCTTTTTCTTGAACTCTAATGCGAGATTTTGGATAAGAATTTTCGTCTTTGGCGCATCGATCGAGAATATGGTAAAACAGGCAATATTTTGACACGAACCAATGTAAAGTTCTTACTTAAAATACGAAGGTCTACCGAGCACAAATGGAATCTGTCCGCGCTATTTCCTCTATCATCTCTCCCTCCCGTTTCCCCTTCACCTCCTTTTCCACGCTCTTCTACCTGGTATGAGTGCCCATATACCAACAAACAACGCGTGTATCTATATTTGCCGGATCCCCGTCTAAGGTGTGTGGATACCAATACTTTACCGGCCATTGTACATGCAACACGGTTTCGCTTATTTATCCTACACATGTGCACTTGATATGTATAGATACAGCACGCGTCTTATTTACCGAGCGATAAAGAGAGAAAAAGTAATCGAAAGAAAAAGAGAAACAGAGAGATAGCGCCGCGACACCGAGATATTTTTCGAACTCGATGCACGTCCAAACGATGATCAACTTTAGCGACGAGACGAGCATCTGATGAAAAAGGATATATTTACGAACAATTAGTAAAAAAAAAAAAAAAAGAAAAAGTTGGATCTGATTTACTACGAATTCTTTCACAGCTGTCACCGTTCTGTGTTTTTCTCGTCCCTTTCCGAAAAATTCCAAACGAGCAAAAACTCCAAAACACCAACGACGTAATTTTAATCTCTAAAAATAAAAACACGAGACACAAGCTCGCGCCTTGTGTCAATACTTACAAACGTATCAGCGCCTCAAGTGAAAACAAGCGGCTTTTTGCGTCGAAAGTGTATAATACGGCGACGAATTTCATTAGAAATCGTCTTTACGCTACACTTCACTATCGCGGTGTACGCGCGATCACAAACAGAAATTCTGAAATCTTTTGCTTCCGTGAATTGTGCGACATACGTTGTACGTACACGCGCGAGAGAAACATGCCTCTCCGCCTCCTTCGTTTCGCATTGTCGGACATACAGGCCACGTTCTGTTTTCTTGTGCACAGTCGCAAAACCACGGATCATTCCCTAGGAATAAGGTCGTTCGCAAGATCGTGCCAAGAAACACTACCAAGAAAACGACCGTTATTTGTCGAACGTTCTCTTCGATCGTGCTTAACGATGTTTCGTTCACGTTCGTTTGTAATGTATCGACGTTGGCAACGTCAAAAACTGTACGAATATTACGGAAAATGCGGATACAACTATCACATACGGTGAAAACAAACGCGCCATCAAATTATTCGCAACGCACGACACGCGAGAGTCTCGCGATGTTTCCTGAGAGATATCGACACGACAAATCGTACGTACAAGATTTCAATGATCAAAATACTTGATCGTCTAGAAAGTAACGCTCTACATCGACGACCTTGTTCCTAGGATCTACATAGGCGTCAATCGTATCAAGCATCTATCAACACTAGAATCAAACGTAAAAGCTTTGCTTGAAACGGATAGAGGGAGCTGGCCGCAGTTGTCAACGGCGTACGTGAACAGAAGGTTGGTCGATATGAGGGAAAAGAATACTTGTGAAATGCCAATCATCGAACATAGCATAATATCCATGGTACATACTGGGAAGAACGGTCGTTCTTTACGTTCCTCTTCTTTCCTATCTCGAGCGAAAAAGAGCACAGTGACAGTTCGCTCACGGATAATGGCAGATGCGCACGACGATCTGTCTGTCACGTGGTAAAGGGTAAAAATTATCCGTTTGCACGTGTACGGCTACTAACGTTCATATGCATACTTTAACACGTGAATCGCGCGTGCAGACGTATGTGTTGATGAACGTGTGACCGTGTACGTGAGCGTGACGTGTGTGCAAGAGTATGTGTATAGGTTGAGTAGTGACTGTGCAAAAACGTCGCAACAAGACGGCGCGTGGACGGTCGCGGCTGAACTGATCGTGGGGGTCGAGCCACAGGTGTCATCAGACGGCGGCTGCTCCACCCCTCTGCCCCCCACCCGATTTCCTCACCCGCCTTCGATCCCCACTCCCGTTCGTTACTTTCACGCACACGTCTACTCGTGCCAGAGGAGACGCGTGCGCACACCACCCGGCTTCCTCTATAATCATGCAATATCATTTGCTCTACTCACGGCGCCTATAAACTGGCCGAACCGCGGCACGTGCTTTGCATCCTATCTTTCAAATGATATCGACAACTTTTTTTCAAATTGGATTGCTATTAGAATTGATAGAAACTCACATTAAGAATTCACCGTTTTAACATTCACCGCGCGTTTACAAATCTACTTAAGCATCGGTAATTGATCGAAACATTACATAATGTAAAAACCAGTAGATGACTATTTACCAGTAGAGCTATTATGAATCGAATACTTACTTATCGTACATTGTACACGGTTAAGCGAAACAGGATATGTATAAAATATCTGGAAAATGTGTAAAGATTATGACGAAAGTAGGGGAAAAATTTAGGCGGGAAAAAATGGATGCCGCGTGTTATTGAATACGAATGTTCGTAATTCAAATAGATATTTATTCAAAAACCAGTGTATTTTGTGGCAAAACATATAACATCAGTTATTGACGTAATACTTTTGACGTGTTCTCACTCACCCATATTCGCACTCATACAAATTCCTCCCTCTCTGTGATTTATACTTTTTACTAGCTATATGTATATATATATATATATATATATATATTTTTTTTTATGTTTGCTTATAGAATATTTAATATTTTTTTTCTATTTATCCATTATTTTTAATTCATCTCATACTTGTATAGGTAGTATCATTGGATTTTTCCAAAACTCAAATATACGTGTAAAAATGAATGAATTTTTCGAATGAATTTCAACATAGAAATATATGACATATATATACGAAACACGCGTGAAATCATTTTGAAACAAATAATTCGATACCAAGTGGTTCTAGAATTAAAATCATTATAACATTTAATACACTTGGTATCAGATAAATAATCATATAATTTATAACTCATATACCAAAATAAAACAAAATAAACAAAGAAATCAATATTTTATTGAATTTCTTAATCTCTATGAACATTATCTCATGTATATATTACTATAAATAGTACGTACAATTTCATATATTTTTTGTGCATCGCACGTTCATTACCACTATTCATATTATCGAGGAAAAAATTCAAATGACACTACGTATACAACATATGATTGTAATATTAGAACTATCGATAGTCTAATTACATATACAGTATGTGATATGGGTGCTTAGCTAGTTAGCTATGGGGTACGTAATATCCCACGCACCCAAAACTTCGTTTTTATGAATAAGCCAATGATAGGAGTTTGTTCCCCTTTCTAATTTATAAAAGAAATCGTGCGATAAATTTTTAAATCACTTATATCGATTTATCGTGTTGAAATTAATATAGTTTGCCGTATGGTTGTTTCAACATTTAACTTTATGCTACTTCTAGAAAAATATTTACGAATCTTCAGACAGGAGAAAGTTTGCAAGTAGAACTATTTTCTCACCTGTTACCACAAGAAAGAGAAACTTGACGATTTCTCGTTACTAGCAAAGTCAAACTCGTATGATTGGCTCTAAAACAAATTGGCAATCTTTCGGTCGTCCTCGACTTCGTCACATGTCACTTGTGAGACTCGCACGACCGCCCTGGGAAACGGAAGCGCACTCATCAAACTTCCTCGTCGAAACGATTTCTTTTTTTTCTTTTTTTCTTTTTTTTTTCTTTTTTTTTTTTGTAAAACGATCTTAACTAAGTGCACAAGAAAGAGAATACGAGAGTATGTTATTATGCAAATTGTTTAAAGAACCGCTTCGAAACGTCAATGTTCTTTAAACACGTGTGACACCATCAATTGAGAGTTAGTAAAAAAAAGAAAAAAAACCATGTAATAATGGAAAAATCTTTATGTCAGAAGCGGTTAATTTATTTTCACGTTACATGAAACAAAAACATTGTATGAAAATTAAAGCAACATACGATGTATACTCGTGGTTACTTAATGTGATTTTCGATAATCACGGATAAAAAGATATTACGTATATTGTAATTCATTCAAATGGTAAACATGTATCACATCCTACATTATTACTAACATTTAATTGCGAATCTAATTACATCAATTTAATCTTAGAATTAATGATTAAAGGGACACTCGTTATGTCCGAGAAGAGCCTCTTTTATATGTATATGTATATATATATTATAATGTATATACTCAATACAGCGGTGTTTCACATATTTTCATATTCTTAATAATGCTAAGATAGAATGATCTTGTATTATTTTCGGCTTAATCCTTGATGAGCCACGTCGATAAGAACAACCGCACCAAGTGCAAATAATAAAAAAAATTTTTAATTCTTTTTAGATGAAACTGAAATTTCTGACGATATATATCAGTAGTTTCCCAGGACGTTTAATTCGATGACGAAAATTGGCCAACAAGTTTCCCTTTATTCTCTACAGAACTTGTATTTTATAAGAGTAAATATTTACAAATAATTTTCATAATATATCATTATAAGCATATGCAATTAAAACATAAATTTTATTTTTCAACATAAAAATAAAATAAAGATGTGAAATAAAACAGATAAAAAATGCTGGCCATTTTTTTCTGTCATCTGTTCGTTTCATTCAGCGAACACATAAAATTTTTCTAGAAAATCGAAAACCTTGTCTCGGTGAATTTAACCTTTTTAAATTGCACCAATAAAGCGTATCATTATTTTCTTTTATTTTTATTTCCAACAACATATCCTGTTAATTATCAGCATAAAAACTGAATTCAATCGTAAAAAAAATTTTCAATATTCACCGTGCAATCTAATCAAAGAAAAAAAAAAAAAAAAAAAGAAATTAAAAAGCCTTGCTTCCAATAGCATTGTAAGGCACATTTTCGACACGTCCCAAGTCTCTCAAGTAGGGAGGAGTACATTTAATGGAAACGAAGTCGGGAAGCGACTCGAGCGATCGGCTATACAAGACGCTGTTATCGAGAAAAGTAGTCGCTATGCATTAAAATAAAACAAAACAAAAAGAAAATCATTTTGCAAAAAGTTTTCTTGAAAAAAAAGCGTAAAAAAGATACATACATATTTATAGTTTACATATTTAATATTGAACAAACAACGAGGCCTATGTGTATCAACTTCATCGCTATTAATATGCATTCGAATCTATTAGATTTGATTGCATCTGCTTAAGAAACAAACTTATTATGTCTCAACATGCTAAGAAATACCAAGAGGTATTTTTTTCAACGATTCATAGTAATTTGTTACTACTTGCACAAATAGCGTACTACTCTTCTCCGGTAGCGACGTAAAACAACGTTAGATATTGCAATAAATATGATATAGCAAAACGCATGCTCCGTTAGAACCTGGCTCTGATGTAAACAGCGGAGGCATCGTGTTCTCCATAACCAAGGCGTTTAGCATGTTTGTAAACTTCGTTCGCTGCTGCAGCTAGTGGTAATGGCTGTTCTAATTGATCGCTCATACCTAAAGAAAGTCTTAAGTCTTTTTGCATATGTTGAAGTGGTAACTGTGTCGGGAAACCACCTTCGATAATCGCTGAAAAAAATTAAAAACACATCATAGATATCATGCAACCAGACGTAAAATTTAATTCTTGTACTCGATCAGTCAAAAATAAAAAGGCCGTAAATACCTTTTCCTTTGTCAAGAATAGCAGGGCATGCCAACGATGTTAATTCCAAAACCTCAAGAACATCCTTTTGCTGAAGACCAGCTCGATCTGCTAGAGCCATACTCTCGGCCAAACCAGCAAGAGTAACACCTGCCATCAGTTGAAGCACGAGATTCATTTTGGAAGCATTTCCTACCTCGCCAAGGTAAAAACTGTTTTTCCCCATTGCTTCAAAGCAAGATTGGCATTCATCGAATAGAGTTCGATCGCCGGCCGCGAGAATAACTAAAGTACCCTCTTGCGCCTGTGTTTTGCTACCCTGTACTTGGGCCTCCAAATAACGGCCACCTTTTGCTGTTATTGCCTCAGCAATATCTTGTGACGTTTCTGCATCTATGCCAGTCATCTCCACGTATCCTTTTTCCGGAGATATTTCCGTAAGGACTCCACAGTTTCCAAACACCATCTAGAAGATTATTCATATTTTTTATATCTATTATAATATTGGAATAGTTTATATAAAAGGGAAATCTTAAAAGGTCACGATTTTACTCACGTCTTTGGCAGCTTGAGGATCAGCCACGCAGGAGAATGTAATGTCAGCAGCGAGCACCACGTCGGATGGTGTTAAGCCCTGCTCTGCTCCAGCTTTCACAAAATCTGCACACTAACAGGGAAAGAGATCATTAAATTTAAACGTTCAGATTTTTAAATTTACTTTTGAAAATATGAAAACTAATAGGATTAATATCAAAGCATATAAACGTATAATTTTATACATAACATTTCGTAATATAAAGAAATGAAATAATGTATTCAAATAAAAACCATTGTTGCATTTCTTTTTTTTTTCTCTTTTTCTTTTTTTTTTTAATGTCATGGCCCTTATAAGTTCCGATTTGGCATTTTAACGACATCGCTCAGTGCGACATGGTACTACAAAAATATCTAACGACAGCGACTCCAGTAGATGTCGCCACAACGAGTCACTCGCCATTTGCCTCGCTATTCCGGTCACGTAGGTTGTCTGAACGGCTTCGAAGCTAAATGTTTCCAAGCTTGCTTGCCACATCAGCAAACGACGCCATTGTATCATCTAAAGATATTTCCCGCATATGGCTAAAAGGTGTATCTACATATTCATTGAGATTTAAAGGATTATAATTGCGTTTAGTTTTGCTTGTAGCCTAGTACGAAATACATATGTTTCAATGAATTTTTAGAAATTTCTAAACATTCCAATATGTCGGAATGTGCCATAAATCGATAGAAACCATTTATATAATGATGTCGTAAATTATGAAAAAATAATGATTACATACAACACATATATATTACGATATTACGATAATGATAAATTTGATGATATTAATTCTATTCTATTTAATTGAAAGCTATAAGTATTTTTTATAATTTTTTACGTGCAAAACCAAATTCTCTTAGATTTTCAGTGTACGATGCCATGTACTTTTTTCAATATGTCGTCACTGCTTCTTACACGATTCATGTACTTCTATCAAATAAATTTACATACATATTTAATATACATATATTATTAGATCATATTGCTGCAATTATTACTACTTTAATTAATGTTCCTTATTGAAGTTTGTACAATTATTAATAAATATATATAAATATATAAATTCCAATAGCTGAAAGAATATTTCTGGTATTGACGATTACGTATTTTGCTGTTACGAACATAGCGAGTCAACAAGTCAGTTAAGTGTTGTCAACAAAGAAACAAAGAAGACAAGTAGGCTATATTCTAAGCAATCTTTGATCTTCAGAGGTTAAGATTTGCAGTGAAAGTGTGATTTCTTTTATACCAATGAAACAAATCTCAAATAAATTTATCAGCCGGAACGACGCAAACGTAGCAACAATAATAATAAAATAGATATAAATAAAGATTGATTTTCGTCTTCTATTACTATTTCGTTGCACGTGCGCAAGAGTAATCGAGTAGGAAGTGTACATTGATCGTATTCTTGACCTGTATTATTTTACACATCCAATTTATTTCGGCAAGAATACGAATTTATTCGCATGGCACACGATGTTACGCGAAAATATGTATATTATAAACGATAGCAGTCGATTGAAGAACTAAATTATCAACGTATTGTGTTCGTAACGGAATACGTAAGCTGTTTCATAAATACTGTGAACGAAAATTATGTACATAATATTTATAGAATATCGTTGAACATGTATTGATATTTCTTTTCTATGTATGTGACATCTATCATGTGATTGCATCCTACATCCATTATGTATGCTATATTCATTTGTGATATCTATGATTCAGCAAATCTGATTCAGTAAACCAGACATTAAATAAATGCTAAATAAAAAAAGAGATGTAAAAAATCTACCATATTCGCAATTGCTTGCATTGTTGCCATGTTTAAACCAGATATAGATTTAAAGAAAAACAAAATTAGATATAGATATAACATGAAAGATATAGCAATTGTTGGTAATTTTACTACTTTAAATATATTTAATCGACCTGAATTTAAATTTACAACTAGTATATTTAATTAGTCGATAATAAGCATAAGAAACGATGCTGTTTCATAATTCCAATTTTTTATTTAAACGTAAATAAAATAACTACTGCAGAAGGAATTTACATATTTAAATTCTTTACATAACAAGAGAACTTAAAGAACCTAAAGTTCGTGAATGTCAATGAATAACCGAGGCAACACGTACAATTTTCAAATTCTCAAGTTTGAACGATAATAATCGTTCCTTTACAGCTGTATTAACTTAAATAATGTTCATATTACGAATATATATGGTCATGATATATAACCATACATATATAGGAAAACATTCTTTATTCTCTCTTTGCATCATGATAATACTAACAGTATAATTGTTGCCGTTTTAAACGATAATGGGTAACAAAAAAAATACGGCTAATATTCTACTAAAATATATTTTTTGAATTAGCATAACTATTATTTCCGTTTGGTTCATATGTTGCTCTATATTGTTATTGTACTTTAGATGATTCCAATTTAAACACTTTTTTTTCATAAATCGAATGGTTTATTTTGTTGAAAAAAATAAATTAGGGCACATAACAGCGTCTATGCGTATAGTATACACATGTTCGTTGATCGACAAAAAGAGTCAGATGAATAGCGTGCTAAAATACAAGTTGCAGAGGCGGCGGATGTAGAATCGTATAAGCAAAGATAGAGAGAGATCGAGTATGACGACCTTTGTGGTTTACAGTGAACGTGTGGAAATTGTTTGTATAAAATTTCTGATCGTTCATAGTTCTGTTCGTCTGGGCACGATGCACAATCAGGAAATGAAATGGCAATAGAAGAAATATGAGAGAAACGATTTGTTGGAAGCTAGAAAGAACTCCCATAATTAATTAAAGGATTATCTTAGATAAGTTGCATAGAATCGCATATTGCAGTTGCTTAATAGCAGAGAATGAATGTATTGTTTTGAATGTATTGTTGTCATGATTTTGAAATTATTTTTAAAATTTCAGACATATTACATCGATTGTTATTGTTATCAATATGCTAAACTGGAAGTTCAATTAGCAATTAATTATTGTTGATACGACGCTAGAAAGAACGAGTGACGTAAGAGAAAAGCCGAGACCAGAAAGGTGAAGTGAAAGAAGAGTACGTTTAGCAGAGGAGTAATTAGCTGTCTTGGTTCTCATGCAGTCTACTATAGAAATTCTACCAAATACATTGTGAGAGCAAAAATGGCTTGTTAAATGATACAGCAAATAAGATTCAATATATTCTTTCGAATATTTTGAGTATGACAGAAATTTAAGGCTCATCAGAAATCTGGTATTATATTACGACTTTATCTTTTTACTGTTTTTAATCTAAGAAATGAAAAATTTTTTTGCTTCGCGTTCAAGGTTTTCTGTTAGATTAAAAGTTAATTTAAAATAAATAAACAGTTAATTAAACTTTTACAAAATGATTTCTCATTATCAACATATTCTCAAGATAAGATAAACGATTCAAAATTCTGCGACTGCTTTACAAACAATACTATCTTTTCAGACGGAGTCGATACACATCCTGATAGCTCGTTATATTCGTAGTGGAAAATGTGTGGACAAGGAGAAAGGTTGAACGACACGGTCGTTCATTCAGGTTATATCTTTGGATACGTATATAAGTACTTGATATTCGTACATCCCTGAATCATTCCGATCTATATCTGCCAGTTCTAAAATTATTTACACGTGGCAAGATATAATGCCTAACAACAAATTGAATGCCTAACAACTATTCATTTATCTGGCTTTCCAATTTCGCTTATATTCGGCAGCCAGACAAATATGTAATTAATCGTTCAAAAATACCAAAATCGTGGTAAACTGGTAAAGGCCAAGGGGACGAAAGCGACGAAGGACAAAAGCGACCAAAGGAAGGTTCAGAGCGAGCTTGCGCCGTCTAACCGACACGTATAAATAAAGAGTTGGATAGCTGCGAGGTTGCCAGATCTCAGTAATATTGATCCACGAAGCCGACACGGTCGTCAGCCGAGGGTCATGCAGAGAAACATGGCAACAACGGCCTGTTCCCAGCTGATCGAGCTCTACTCACGTCTGCTCGACGGTCGACCGTGTCTCTCCGTTTCTTCGAGCTCTCTCGCTTTCGCTCAGGCTCTCCCTCTTTCTCTCGTAACTAGCAACCGGCACTTATCGCCTTGCCTCGGCTCGCAGGCCTTTCCTTTCTTACATCGCTGCCGCTCGACCATTCCGCTTTAACTTCAATATACGAAGCAAATGCTTCCTTCCACTCGTTAACTATACACAGTTGCAAGCGATATTATGCAATAAAGAAAAGTCTTACATGCCAAATCGACAAATATGTCGTATTATTGGAGAGAACATCGCGTACATCTTTGATCCTTGTCTGCGTTTTATTTTTACCATCACTGCGAACGATTTTATGCCAAATTTTTACTCGAATCGCCAGCACAGAAGACGGAAGAATTATCTTTTAAAATAGCTACACTCCTCTTTTCTTTATCGTTACTAACCGTCTGACATTTTTTGGCTCTTCTGAAAACCGTGTGCCAATAACGTTACGTAACAAACAACTGCACTCATTTCGATACGAATGTAATTTTTAAAATTACTCAGCGATTAAAAGACTGATTTTCATCGAACTTGCAAATATTTTAGAATCAGAGAAAACGTTTACACGAACACAATAATATTTTTCCTGATATGAAGCAATTTTATTTATTACACGTGACATTCCTGTTCCTCGTTTCGTGATAAACACGATTTACAAAGCTCAGCAAATGCTATAAATCTTCTTACGGCATTTTCTTTGGAAGGATTCCTTCCTCTAAACTGTTTATTGTGCTATTACGCTATTATGTAACACATTTCTAGTTAAATAATTCCATATTTATTTTCCAATTCATATTCTCTTCCAGTTGAGTTATTAATGTCGCGCAATCGAATGTTGTGTTTCGCCCATGAAAAACTATTTTTCATAATTAATTTGTTATTTCAATCTTGCACGATCTTGCAAATTTTGGTCTTTGATAATACTTGGGACTATTAAAAAAAATTCTATGTTTCTTTCGAACAAAAAGTTATATAACAGAAAAGAGTAAAATAAGAAACTATAAGATAAAGATTCTACCCTTACAACAGTTGACCCTCTCAGCAATGAGAGAAAGAGAGAGAGAGAGAGAGCTTTCACGTAAGCTATAGAAGTTTAGCAATCAAGGTCAAATTCAATCTTGTTACTATGCACGCAAATCAAGTTTCGAAACAAATTACGAAAACGATCTACTAGACATCGCTTAAATTGCACAATCCCCATTAATTCTGATTTAAGGTTAGAACATAATTCAATCAACTGTTTGCCAAACTCGCTCGTTTTACTTTATTTCATTACGATAAAGCATTGTTGTAAAAGTCGCGTTTGTTTTGCAATCTTAAACGTTATTTACGGAATACAACGGAGTAAAATTTGAAACTGAAGCAGCAAGATAAAAAAAAATGGAGAAGGAGGAGGAGGAGAGGTGGAAGTGAAGGTAATCGAATACATATATTGCAAACTGAACTTATCAAGACTGAACTTATCAAAACTGAACATGGAAGCGTAACGTGAAGAACATTCGCAATTCTAAGCATTTCATTTTATCGTTTATTGTGGATATATACATAGCACACAGGTACAACTCTCAACATTTAATTTATAGTTATTAATTATTGTTTGTTAGGTAGTTCTTCCTACATGCGTTAGTAGCACATTGTAAATTTATTGTCTTCAGTAATTTTAGATTATTATTATTATGCATCGTACAATCACTACTCATATTCTTTTTGTGCTATGATTAATTTGAATACGTTTGATATTTATAAAAGCAAAAAAAAAAAAAAAAGAGAGAGAGAACATTTACTAAAGATGTAAAATTGGCATGCGATCGTACAATCTGTCCGGAGACTTCACGAATGGCTCCTCTCTTTCTCCATAATTACTTTTTTTCTTTACATGACGTAGAAAATCCACTCTTATAGATTAAACCCTATTCAAAATTGAACGTTAGCTACCGCTGACGAAGCTATAACACCAAGGTCAGCCTGGCAATCGTACACGTGGACAGTTTAAACAAATGATTTACAAATGTACAGAGGTTTCATTATGATAACGATATTAGTACATTTTCCTCTAGATGAGATTAGCTTCCTCGATAAAATTAAATCAAAAACTTAATGATACTGTTTACTTAATATTAATCGAATACTACCGCAACGAATGGCGATTTGCAAGAGATATGTAAAGCAAACGATATACCGTTTCAAGGTAATTCAAAATAATACGTGCGTAGCTAGTAAAGAAAGTATGCGTGTTTCACCTGTGGACAATTCGATTTTTAACAGGAATGCCCGTGCTGTAGAAATCTGAAAGTCACCTCTACTTTATAAATAAAACACTACACTTTTCCCATCGTAATAGTAATTTTTCATACATTCAGCCAAACAACACTTTTGTTCGAGCACTCTCTCTCTCTTTCTCTCTCATTAGAATATTTTCGTTTTATACTTACGTATCGTTTTAACTGAACATAATTGGCACAACAGAGACACGCTTTTGAATGCTCTTTGTAATCGTGAAAATTATACTTGTCGCAATTATGTCGTAGTAACGTTCTTGCACTGTGAGTAAAAACTGGAATCGCAAGCGTATGTCAGATCGGTGCCATACGATAACAGAATGATGTTCCAAAGATTTCAGGTGAAACTAATAGCATGAATCGCATAATGCTGCATAAAAAGAAAGATCGTCGATTCAATCAAGGAAAATAAGCGTTCCATTCCACGGTCTACTTGCAATATTTGTTAATTTTTAGCTTCCCGGAAATGAACGTCAGCCGCGACGTCGATCGCGATTCATCGTGGTTTCTCAGTAAGTTTCAACCGGAATGTTTCAAGTATTTTTCGAACGCCGAAACGCAACTGCGAAACAATGCGACGAAAAAAACCGAGGGAAATTGTATGGCGAAGTGTCTTGCGAAATGAAAATTTTCGAGAAAAAATTCGAAAGGTTCGTTCGAGCAACGAGCAGTGACGAGTTGTTTACTAGGGCAGAAAGATGGTAGATAAAAGGCGAGCTAATTAACGAGCGCAAGAAGAGAGTACTTAACTAGAAGACCATAGGAACGACATGGCAGAAAACACGCGACAACTAATACGAGTAATACGTGTAGTAAGAGTATCAAGATGGATGGCTGAGGGCAGATAGATCTAGAAAGAATTAATCCTGATGTGGATAGTGAGGATGCGGGGACAATGGGCCAGGAGGAATCGGGCTAGAGGGCTGTGTCTGGTTGTGCGGTCGGGTTCCCCCTCGCAGGGCGGTTCGTTGAGCACGATGCAGAGTGGCGAGGTAGGTTTTGCGTCGGCGCGGTTCCCGAAGCTCTGGCAACGTTGCCGGCTTTTCGTGACGATGGTTACCACGAGGAGAAGCCAGAGTCGAGCGGATCTCTCACAGTTAGTTTTTGCCTCTGATACGCGACGGACGACGCTGGTCGTGTCGCGATGCACGAGTGTGTCATGTGACACGCGAAATAACAGTAGATCTTTGTGTGTTGCTGCTGTACCTTTGGCAGAACCGACACGCAGGAACAAATACGATAACTCGTAGAAGAGGAGAAAAGAAAGAGAGAAAGAGAGAGAGAGAGAGAGAGAGAGAGAGAAAAAGAAAAAGCAAGGGAAACCAGCGGGGTGTGTGTGTGTGTGAGTGCGTGTGTGCGTATATGTGTACATGTGTGGCTCGTTTGTATGTGTTATCCATTTATATGCGTACTTGCGCGCGCGCGCGCGATAGTGTTTTCATAGCTGTATAGTTAAGCTGTGTGCAGCGGTATTGTATGCTGTGGTGGATTCCCTTCCCGTCCAATTTCGGAACTCTTCAAGTCGTTCCATTAGAGCGCGCACAATTATGTTACCGGTCCGACACGGCAATAGCAGCAACACCACTGCCGCCACTACCAACAAATCCAGCAACCTCAGTACGTCCATAAGACACTGGGCCGGATTTTTTGCAAACGGTTAGAGACACGAACCATCGGTTAGTCCAGCGCCGCGACACTCGGTGCTTCATGGCTTGTCCGTGATTCTCGCTTAGGTACGTAACGCAACAGAGAAAATACAAATACGAAAGTAAGAAGAGAGCGAAAAATACAGTCCAAAAAAAAAAAAAAAAGAAACAAGTGCCGAAAAGAAAGAGAAAAAGAAAAAAAATTACAATATATGCTTTTGCATCGTTAACACGTCTTTTCCACTTGAAAAAGCTCTGAATAACGATCTCTCATTCAAAGTGTATATCCGTTATTTCTTGATTTGAAAATAGCGCAGAATTTCGAAACGGGATTTAAAAGATTGTTAAAGTCAATCGATCGAAACAGTTTTGGATTTCACGAAGACACGACAGGACATGGGATTTCTTGGTTGTATGCGAGGAAATCGTCATATTACAGGTCATAGGAATGAGGGAGCGGGTGTTCACGTGGCACTCCTGGTGGTGGTTAATAGCCCTTCTCCTCATTGTGGTACACATTACGGATACGCAGGATCTCCTGTCGCCGGGTTCGTCAACGTTCGTTTCAACGGAAAAGACGTCGCCGTCTTCGCGTGTAGAATGTGCCACGGGCTGCGAGTGCTTGGACGATGGAAGAAGCCTACTGTGTCAGGAACGAAATTTCCTTGGACTCGGCTTGTCCAGACAGGCCACCAATGTTGTGTTGAGAAACGTCGAGGCAGCCACTATACCCGTTTCTGCCCTCGAGACAGCGATTCGCCTCAAGAGTCTCGCCTGGACGTCGAGCGGAATCGAGAGGATAGAACCTGGCGTGTTCCACGCAGCAACGTTCCTCCAACATCTCAACTTAGGTGACAATAGGCTGACGGAATTGCCGTCGGATGTCTTCCATCCGTTGCACCAACTACAGTACCTGAATCTCACCGGAAACCGGTTGACTATACTCCCGCGAGCGTTGTTTCAAGGTTTGGAGCGACTCGAAGAGATCGGCTTGTCGCGCAATCGACTCTCAGTACTTCCCTATCAAGCGTTCGCTTCGTCCAAGTTGTTGGCTCGTTTGGATCTTTCCGGTAATTTGTTGGTATCATTGCCGGATCACAGTTTCAGGCCCAACACGCATCTTCAGGAGCTTGGCCTGTCCGCCAACAGACTCACCAAACTTCCATCCCGTTTGTTCTCCGGCTTGAGCCAATTAAAGATCTTGGAGCTGGCCAATAACGAAATCGACACGGTCCCGCGCGGCTTGTTCGCCGACCTCGTCTCGTTGCAGCACCTCGATCTTTCCGGGAATCCTATCACGCGTTTGACAAGCATCGCGTTCCACAGCCTGTCGAATTTAAAATGGCTCAGCCTGAAGAACCTACCGGTAACGGTGCTTCCGCACGACGTGTGGCGACCGACGAAGAAGCTACGCAGCCTGTCGCTCTCCGGAACAAGGCTGGAGATCCTTCGTAACGACGACTTGAAAGGATTGGATAAACTAGAGACGCTGGAAATGAGCAACAGCCCGTTACGCGAGATCTCACGGTGTACCTTGGATCGTACACCGGCGCTGCGTAAAATCGATCTACGCGATAGCAATCTGACCTTCCTGCCGGCGAACGTGGCGCAGCTGTCGTCACTGAATGAATTGCAGCTGCAAGGGAACCCGTGGGCCTGCGATTGCCGTATGTTCTGGTTCGTAAAATGGGCCGAGAGCAAGGAACACCTACGGACCGCTTTTCGAAGTGGGTTCCGATGCGGCGACGAGATCGACGGCACTGCCGATATCCTTCAAACTCTTCGTTACTTGAAATGTTCGCCGCCGAATTTGGTATACGCTACGCCCACGCAACAGTATCTGTTATTAAGCCCCGTGCTACTCGAATGTGAATACAATGGCAATCCTACGCCATCGTTAACATGGGTCACGCCGACACTCCAGGTACTGCATTGGAATCCTGATCCAGCTTTTCCCGACGCTTTTGTCGAACATCCTCCCGTACATCGATGGGAACAAAGTGTACCGTTCGTTGATGATGGTCGCATACGCATCCTCGAGAATGGATCTTTGTACATAAAGACGTTGCTCAGGCAGGATGTTGGACAATACAAGTGTTTTGCAGTCAATCCGATTGCCAATGCCACTACCTATATTAGTTTGCAGATGAATCCAATAACATTAGAGAAAGTCAAGATTATCAGCATATTGGTAGGCGCTGCCAGCGCGATCATCTTTCTTCTTTTAACGCTCCTCTTGCAACTGCTTCGTTATCTCTTGATCAAGTGAGTATTCCCTTCTTCCGTCTCATTGCCATTTAACGCCCAACTATAATTATCGCTCGATGCGTATATCGTTATTGCGTTCGAAAATAATCACCGTGCGCATCACCTATGCACATATGTGTGTGTATATATATATATATATATATATTAGCTTCATCGCCTCGCGAGTCGATAACTTTCTTTTCTCTGCTTTCCTTTGTTCAAGGATTTGTTCAAATACTCGTAACTTCAAACAACTAATTGTAGTTAGTTTCGCGTGAAACTAACTGATATCGTTTGCGGATCGTGCAATTACTGCCCTCCCCCCCCCCCCCTCTCTTCCTGTATACAATGTAAAATCGTTTGTTTCCTTTCGTTCCAGGTGCGGCTGTCTGAACTGGTGCATGTGCTGCAGACGCGTCGGTTCCACTCCCAGAGCGAAACAAATTTACCAAATGTTGGACAATATCGAGCAATACAAGAGTCAACAACTTGAGCGGTTACGCGAGAATTATACTCAACAAGTGCATAGAATAAAAGAGAACTGCGCTCAACAAGTAGAATGGATTCGCGACAGTTACGAAGGTCAAATGAGGCACATTAGAGACATAAGGGACTACGGGACGAGCCACCTTACAGCTCTCAGAGATCAGTATTACGATCAGGTAATGAAATGTTAAACGATTAAAAAAAAATTCATTAGCCGACGCGAAATCACCAAATGTCTCCAAATCTAATCGCGTTCTAGTCCTGTGTGTTGAAATTGATTGAAATTTTCTGAGACAAAGTTTTAAGTAACCCTCCCCCCGCGAACGAGAAACATATATACATATATATTGAAAGAGGGCATAGACGAGAGCCCTCGTCGGCGATGGTACAACAAGCGTTTCAAAATGTTATGTTTTTCTGATCTTGAAACAGGTGAGAAAAGTACGAGATTACTCAACAAGTCAGCTCAATTGGGTGCGAGAAAATTATGTCTTCCAGCGTAACAAGATAAGAAAGTTCAGCGCCCATCAGGTGCTAAGGCTGCGCGAGAGTTACAAATACCAGCAGCAAACATTGAACAAGGTACTGGAGAATCTGCCGAATTTCTATTTTGATAATTGCCGGACCGGCTCCTGCGGGAAGAGCGACTCGATGGTGTTTGATCCGAAAGATGACGGCGGATCGATCCACGTGGACACCTACTTTAAGGCAAAAATTAACGACCTGGCGTGTGGCGCTAGCTTGGAGGATGTCAACAGCGAATATTACACGCCAACGGAACTTTCGTCGACTAGTCCACATGGGAACATAATGGAGGGAATCCACATAAACTATATCGAGGAGATAGGCCCACCGATTCGATTCGACTCGTTGTACAATGGAACTGTACCGCTGCACTCGATAATGCTGCACAGCATCGAGGAAGATGGAAGCTCGCTGTCGGTGTACAAGGACGCGGACAATGTCAAGTTTGCCTTCAAAGGCTTCAGCACCGAAGTTCTAGCCAAAGAGCCTAAAGAAACGCCAGAAAGTTTTGGTCTCCTTGCACCCAGCTCCAGTTTGCCTGACCTACCGCGTGAAACCAAACTCTAGACAAATTCGACGACAAGTGTTATGCAAAAGGGTACTAACCTTTCTTTATATAGAGCAAGATTACAATTAAGACGAGAATGTACTGCCACTGGATCATTATGTGAGAAAAATACATAGAAGTGCCTCTACATCGGTAAGTTGGAATGCATAACGCAAGAACGAACGAACGGTGGTATCTTTCTCTATTCGCGGGAACTCGTTGAAATTCGATTTTCCTTCTTTCGTTTCCTACACTTTTCTTTGTTTGCTCTTTGAAAAATGCACCAGAACAAAACGATACGCCTCGACGATAAAAGAAGAATGCCTGCACAAGTATCAAGAGCTGGAGTATCCCTTTTACTGACATCGATCGAGCTGATGGTTGTGTGTATGTGTGAGTGGCAGCGTTTGAGCAGAGCAAAAGAAAAGAAAGAAACAGGAGAAAAGAAAAAAAAAAAAAAAAAAAGGAAAAAAAAAAAAAAAAAAAAAAAAAAAATTGCGGACAGTTTCCAAGGACCTTTCTGTGATTTGGTCAATGACCTTGCAACCTGTCCGCCCTTACACTTTGTGCTTTTTATCATTGTCGTTATCATCGCTCACTATCAACGATAACGATCGACGATTTTTAGACAAAGAGAACGCTGAAAAGAAACGCAAGATGTCATAGTGTTACTGCCAATTCTGTCGTAAGCCAATTCCAAACTAAACTTAAAAAAGAAAAAAAAAGTAAAACTCGCAAAACAATATCAGAAAATAAAAAAGAAAAAGAAAGGAGAAAGAAGGAAGAGACGAAACTGACGCGTGTGTGAACAGGTTTGTACTAATTTTCGCCTAATTGTCAATTTCCCCCGAAGGTCAACGATTTCGAAGAAACCGATCGATTCACTTTTATCCTTCTGTAAATAAATGTGCGTGCGATTTTATTGGTTTGCGGAGACGTGTGACCACAATTTTTATGAAAGACTGAACTCGCGATCGGTATACGTGTCGTTGACGATTTATTCACCGATTCAAGTCCGAAACCGATACTTTGTTGTCCCATTCTTTCTTTTTTTCTTTTTTTTTCATTTACTATTTCGAGAAATTTAAGTATCCAGGCATGAGGGCGAATACTATTCTTTTTTTTTTTTTTTTTTTTATAATCTTTCCAATGTCTAGGGATGTTTCAACCTATCTCTAAGTAAAATGCAAGCTGTCCAAAGTATAGAAATATATAATTATTTAACAGAATTATCTTTGTCGAACATGTACTTAATTATCAATAGCACTATTGTACCAATCGTTCCGAAAAAAAATTTCAGGAACCATCGAAGAAAATAATAAGTGATATATTTCCAAATTCATTTGTCGTGTGAAATTTCTGTTACTATAAGCCAACAAAAGTACAAAAGACTCTATTAAATCCATAACGGAAATACTATACACGTGAAAATCTTTTTACTATCGTCTACCGCGCTTTTTTGCTTGGAGAAAAAATATCTAACCGAATTATACCGGTTAAATTTAAAAGTTAAATTTAAAGAATTTCAAATTTAAAAAAAGAATTGCAAGAAGAATGTTTTAAGATCCACATTTGAAATATTTGATCATTGGGGTACATTAGAATGATCACAACGAGAGAAATCTCTAACCACAAGCGTTAAATAAAAGTACACTCTAATAATAATAATCATGATTAACTCGAGAACGGCCTATAGGCTTCGAACATCAGACCATTCTTTCTTTATCTGTGTGCTTTTCTGTGTGCAACATCGAAACATCATAGAAAGAAGAAATCGAGCATTTCTCATCATTGAAATAAGCTTATTAGATAATGCATGTCTTATAAGCTATTATACTTTACTTGACAACGTTCCGCTCTAATTGGAGAAACTTGTACAGATAATCTGTAAACTTTTCTACATCCAGAGAACCGTCTGTTGACATTACATTATCTATTCCGATTCTCTGCTTTATCTATGTGATTAAAGAGACAAAGAGAGAAACAATGCAATTATAAAAATCAATCAACATGTTTGAAAGTAATGAGAAATTATTTTTTCAAACGATTATCTTGTTTTTTTGCACGCATGTATAGGGCGACATCTACGAAAGCATATAATTACACCACGATACAAGGTGGCGTCAAATGTATACATCGAACTACTTCTTAAATCTTTAAAAAATATATAATTTTTTTTTTTTTAAATAAAATTTGCTTAGTTTAAAAAAGGGAAGGTAGAAATTGAATTTTTTCCCCTCTGCCGTTAGATACAAAATGTGTCACCCTAATTATTTTCCAAATTTACATTAAATATATCTTGCCATTCTCTAAAGTAAATTCTATCGAATGAATTCAATGACAAGGCAACCGAGCCTCCCCAAGAGTCGAAAACCATAAAGTCACCATTTTCTGCGCCGAGAAGTGGCTCTCAAATGTTTTAGTCGGACGTTATGCTTCGTTTCATCGAACGAAGGAAATGAAAACCGTTGTTGGGTTCTAAGCCGAGCGTGATGAATTTTAATATCGCTATTCAATTTATCGAAATTCCAACGAAACTGCGAACAATTTCATTTAAACGTGAGAAAACTGATCGTACAATTCTCACAAGTAAACCATTTATTACCACAGTCGTAATAGTAAACTGACCGTACGATTCTCTCCTTTCAGGATAAACAACTTTCGCGCAGTGAATCACGCTCTAGAGTTCAAAAATTATTCAAACACGTGATCGAACTTAGTGTGCACACTCTATACGTTCAACGCGCACAAAATTTAGCACGTACGATTCCCGCTTCATACGTTGAAGCCGCGGGAGTTCCCGAGATTTTCCTTCTTTTCGAATCTTTTTTTTCCCTCCTCTACTATTCGTTGGATTACCCCTCGTGGCCCCCACCACACACGTTGCACGCCGTCGAATGAACATGAACAACAGAGCTTAGCTAACGGTGCTTCGCCGTTATTTTTGGATCGTTTTAGCGACTTGAAAGAGATAAAATTTTATCATCCCTCGAAAATGAGAACGCGACAAAACGCGGCAAAAGCATACATATGTGTATCTGTGTGTATGTATATGTANTGTGTGTGTGTGTGTGTGTGTGTGTGTGTGTGTGTGTGTGTGTGTGTGTGTGTGTGTGTGTGTGTGTGTGTGTGTGTGTGTACATACCATGCGGAATGCGGGATGCCACACGCGACTAATAAATTGCCGTTACTATGAACGATGTTACGGAAAAACTAATTCCAGTCGCGTTTCGTGACGGAACGAAGGAAAGTCAAGTGATTAGACGATTGATGCGACCGACGTGAATCTTATTAGCCATGCCTCACGCGATTCGATTTTTAATTGTCCTTCCCGTTGCTCGATGCACGCGTGCGCCAGGATATACTTAATTACACGAACGTTCTCTATGAAAGTTATCTCGCTGTAACAAATAGTCAACGTAATACCTCGACAGTCTATCTAGAAAGTTTCGTTATCTAAGAACCTTTGATACAAAACCCAGCTCACATTATAAATATATAAATGTACAATTTTAGTTTTGAGAAGCTAAAATTTATATTTGTATTTTTTGAGAGGGCTGTTTTCATAGAAAAGTTCATCGAATTTCGATGTTACATGTAAGATCTTCAGATGATCGTTGAAGAACAGAATCTATACGATTCAAGTATAACTAAAAAAATCGGAAGAAGTTACTTCTACAAAATGGGAGTCTAAATGGTTTTTTTTTTCTTCTTCTTTTTCTTTAAATATCGTAATACGAAATGACGGAGACTTAATTACATGCTTTTCAGAGTTGCTCAAACATTAGGTACCGTGAAAATGTTCCTTAAACGTTTGTTTTCGAGAATGCAGTCGAGAATTGTACGTCATATATACTGGAAGGAACTGATTATAGAATAATCATTAACCGTTGAGCACTCATTAACGCTATTAAGTATATAAACTAGATCGCCACAGATGTACTTTTATCAGAACAACCCTCGTCAAAAATAGGCTGTGGATATACCACGAAAAGATTCGTTCCGAAATACCGTGTATTATGTATAGCAAAATGAAGAATAACATAAATCGCGCGTATATTTTGTTACATTAAATATTCGAATTGCGCATAGTTTTTCAATGACCAAAAGTTCCTCCTATGAAAATACGATTTCGCGGTACGATTTTCAAATGCTTTCGATAGTTTGTATCTTTCTGCATTTTTCAAATCTGCTAGTGAACACACGTATTACGAATGCCAATAAAGATTTGTGAAATATTTATTTTTGTAGAAATAACACTTTCAGAAGAAGAATTAGAACGTTGGTATCTATATGAAGAGAAACTACTTCCACTCTTTTTGTTCCTATATATGTATGTATATTCCTTTCTTTTTTATACTTCAATAAAAAGATCACGTGTCACATGGAATATAAATACATATACTTTAATATCACGAATTTCGTAACTACAATATGCAAAGGAAAAAAAATCTTAAGAATTTTCCAACTGATACATATTCCCCCACTTTTCCCATCGCATATCACGCGATCAGGACAAAGTTATTGAATTACTTTACAATTCAAATGTCTGTGTTCCTCCAAAATTTTTCATTCTTTGCCTGTTAAACGATTTAGTTTTCTGTTACCATCTTAATATTTAAATTACAATTTAAGATAAGTAGTTTTAAAAATAAGCTGCAACATGATCAATAAACGAAATTGTTTATCAAAATATCGTTTTTTCTTGCTCCCCTAACTTTTACAAAATTATTGAAATATTTTGTTGAAAAAAAAGAACATTCACGTAGCTTCTTACAACAAAACTCAAATTGTTAGAAAATTAACATTTTATTAAGTAAAAGTTGAATACGAACAGAAATGAAACACAGTAATATTCTTGCTGACGATGCAGCAATAAAATTGATAATGAAGACCGTGGTGTGAATTCATGTAAAACCTTCACCTTATGTATCCTACCGAAAAACTTAAATTCAAGTGTCTTTACTAATACAAATTTGAATCCGATAAAGTCATGCGACTGTTTGAAATTCAGTAAATTGCAAAATAAAAAAATTTTAATTAGTAAAAACTACTTGATACTTCCATTTTTATTGCCTATTGTTTATATTTAATTTGTTGTATTAAAATCGAATAAAATCTTTATAAAGTAACATTAATAATACATAGGAAATGCGGCTTCCTTTTTTCATAATTTTAAAGAATGTCGTCATTTGCGATAAAAAATCGTATTGCAATTGCACGTAATAATCATATATTATTGCGTTACATCGTAAGAAAAGGAATTGTACATACCTTTTCCTGTGTCCGATTCCATACAATCACGCTGTGTCCACTGTTGATTAGATTTTTTACGATTCCGCTTCCCATGATTCCCAAACCAAGAAAGCCAAATTTCAAGATTGAAGGAAGGATATTTTTTTCTTTAAGTGTTTGCGACAATGTTTCCACGTCCAAAGGAGGTGTTACCTGTTTGTTAAATAACAACATATTAATAATTAATATTATTTTTAATTTATTTTAAATGTACATATAGCAAAGAACATAGAAAAAATAACAATGAATCGCGTTTCGAAGTAAAAATAAGAATGAGTAAACATTTTTAAATTAAAAATAGATTAGAATTCACTTAAGACATCAATACATTTAAACATTTAGAAAAATGAATTTAATATTTTTGGGAGTTTTTATAATATAGTATAATTTTATAGATATACGATAACTATGTACAAAATCAATAATAAAAAAAATTCATATATTTAAAAAATTACATTATTATGAAATAATGAAATACAATCATATTTTGTTAATTAAAAAAGTGGAATTTATGTATATACTAATTTTATATCGATGGAAAGGAATTAAAAAAGGCATAATATTATTGTCGTTTATTTATTTACAAGAATGGGTAGAAATTTAATAGGTGCAATTTAATGATTTAAAAGATGAAAGTTCCTGTTCCTAGTGAATATTCAGTTAAAAGATACTTATCGCTATATTTTAATAGGTTTTTAAATACTTTTTTAATATTAGCATTAATTAAATAATATCGTAAGTAGAAATAAAAAAATATATTTTGCATATACGAGTGTAAAATAACAATATATAAAATAAAATATACTTACAGGTCTAGCGATATTTGCTGGCCTATTAAGGAGAGTGGATCCCGATTTTCTCAGAGGGGTTGAATGATTCAATGTTGGGCTAATGCTGCCAACCCTATTACTATTGCTTGTACTTGATTCACTCCGTTGTTTTTTGGCTGGACGACGAGTATCGCTTGCACTAGAATCCAATCTTTTGGTTTTTGGTGTTTCCTGTAGCAAGAATTTCATTCCATATTTTATATTACGTTTCAATTTTAGAATATAACATTTTGCATTAATATTAATAGTACAATTTATTAAATTTAATTGATAACTTCAATATACTTTAATTCAAATGTTTATTATAATAAGTGATATAAACCTAACCTTACGAGGTTTAGATGGTTTTACTATATTTTTCTTCTCAGATATACTTCCTTCCTTCAATCTGTCAAACAAGGAATCTGGATCTAAGCCATCTTCAAATACCTGGGACAAATAACAACACTGCATTAAATAAATGGTTTATGATAATAAGTTTTTACATGTTATTATTTTCTGACAATGTATTTAAAAAAAAGTAATAATTACAAAATAATTACGAAATATATTATTTTATAATAAATTCCACTATATCATATACATTACAATTTTATTTTATAAACTTATATATATATATATAGAACTTACCTCTCCATTAGCAATAAATTCTTCTATTGCTTCTACAGCATCTTTAAATGCAGCAGATTTACTAGATTTTACAAGAGTATCTTTGTATTCTAGATATGGTTTTATATTAGACTCTTCAATCCATGCGCTATAAGAAACATTTATGTAAGTTTCAAAAGTGTTACAAAACATAAAAAATAAATAACTTTATTCAAACTTACTAATTATTAGTTCCGAAGAAGAAAATACATTGAACTGGCCCCTTCTTAGTATATGTTGGTTTTTTTAAGTCCTTTGAAGGATTAGACACCTTAAGATGTCACAGAGAAATTAGTATTTATAATAAAAACAATGTCAAATATATCTTCTATATTAAATAATAAAATAGAAATACAATATTATATTTATGAAAAAGAATATTAATGAAATTTGAATCATATTTATATAACATTTTAGTTTATAATAAAGATAGAAAATGCAAGTTTATCTTTCTATTTATTACATCAATTGTATTTATTATTTTAAACTAAAAATGTGTAAATACGTAATTTTTAGATGTATAATTCAAATAATTTAAATCTACATACTTAATACTAAATACTGAATTTATTAAATAAATGATAAAATTATTGAATCATATTAAAATTTATTCATAAACAAATAAAGTAAAAAATAAATTATTATAAAGAAAGCTATAATTTATAATTACGTATGTAATATGTGATCTATTTACAAATAAGGAAATTGATAATTAGCGCGCGAATATTTTATAAGGATTAGTTTTGAAACGAAGCTAAATTCTTTCTTATTAAAAAAAAAACTATCATCTAAATAACAATTACTTGGATGTACGTAATGTAAATATAAAATTTTGCTATCTATAAACATCTACGATAAAGAACATAATTTAGGTTATATTTTCATAGTCTGCGCGCCAATTTGAAATTTGAAGGTCGGAGACGTACAACAAGGAGCAACAGCAGCATAAAATACATCATTTTATAATAGCACGGTGCACGGTATAAAAAAATCAGATGGAGCACAAAATGTTCCCGCCAAAATGATGGCCGCGTTTGACTTCGTGGCGCGTACAACCAAGCAAAGTATAGTGAACATAGAACCGTTAGTAAAAACTCTAACTCACCCGACCAGGCCAAGGCGAAAATCCTTTCATCTTCGCCCTGAAATCCAGAAAAACATTAATTAGTAATCACTATCATTCGCATTGCACCATTTTTGTTATAAACATTCATTGATTAACACGTAATAAATACACACCACACAAGATCACCGAGCTTGAATACTTCCGACATGACAAAAGATCCGTACTTCTCTCACAATCGGCAAGCGACTGACTGACGAGTAGAGCGTCGTTTGTGCATGACGACGACGACATGATCCAAATACCCCCTCCAACACACGTAACTCAAATGAATATCTCATTTTCACTCATGAATTTAATTAACGAAACAATCTATGCGAATATATATTTATTTATTATTTCGACCAAATCTAATGATTTTTAGGAAAGTAACAACATTAAAATAGTATTAAGCTATAATTGCTTACTTCCGCTAACAGGAAAAATTTTGATTTGTTATATTCCCGTCCTACAACCTAATTTTCAACGTTGTTTTATGAACCACCAATCAAAATTTGACTGCAAAATTATAACTCTTTTATACAGACTCAAAAATAAATAAGTAAAATATTATTCAAAATAAAAATAGAGGTTCTAATAAAAGAAATATTTATTGATAAGTAAGAGAAAAATATCTACTGTCTGATAACAGGCTTGAAAGTGATAGACGTGAAAATGTATGAGAATCTACGTTCACGGTGATACAGCCTTGCCAGCTGTCAGCCATCGATTGTAAGAACTTTTGCTGTCTTAGAAAGCAGCATTACGTACGAAAACAGTATTTTTAATTTCATCTACACAATCAAAATAATATATCGCACTTCGAATAAATTTCACCAGGAATGGATAGTAATATTCGTTACAATATGGTATGTTTTATAAACGATGCTGATTGTAATAAATATTCTTCACGTAGTATTAATCAAAGCGCTAATGAACAATTTACAATTTGTCTTCAACTATCAAAATGTCTTTTATTTAGTAATTTATTTATATATATAAAATAATATTTCTATGTATCATAATGCAAGTTATGGATGAATACTGACATGCAGGTGTTGATAAAAACATTGTCCGCACTGAGTGTCGTTTGTTTCTTGAGATTAATTAAAAATGAGAGATTAAATGAAATAAAAAACAATCCTTACGCTTTGTTGTATTGTTTCAATTCTCTTAATGCTAGGAGTATATAAGAAATAATATTTTTAATCAAAATAGAAGCAGCATTTCATCTATTTAAATATTTTAAATCTTACTAAACATGACTAATTTAATTTTAGCCTTCACAAACAAACAGTAACTCAAATGATGAACCATCATCTCAAAATGAAATACCTACACTAACTGTGTCTCTACCAGTCTCACAAAGTGATATAATCAATTCGGGAAATATTGCTGCAGCACAAACTTCAATTGAAACTCGAATGGTATGATATAAATTTGTTATCGTATATTTGAAAGTTATTATTATTAAGAAAATGAAATAATTATAGACTGAAGAAGAGGACATTCCACCTCCAAAGGCAGATTTTTCAGCTCCACCGCCTTATGAAGTTGCCACAAAATTACCTAGTTATGAAGAAGTACAACGTGAGAAAACATTACAAGGAGAACCTTATCCTCAAATTCACATGGTAATTACTTTAATTATAGTATTAATTAATAATAATATTAAAAATTAAATTTATATCACACGATTAAATAACACTTTTGTAGCCTGAAAATATTAGAACACCGCCAAGGCCTTTAACGATATTGGCTATAGATACTGAAGCTGCAGAGGGAGATCCAGAAAGTGGGTTACTTGGCACTGATTTTATGTTCTTTACAGCATTTTTGGGTAAATTAAATAATATATATCTGTATATTATATGTACATATATTTCTATTACAGTTATATATATCCAGATAATATGTATTTCTATTACAGTCGCATTTTTGTTTAATTGGATTGGATTTTTATTACTGATGTGTTTTTGTCATACAATTGCATCTCGATATGGAGCACTATCTGGTTTTGGTCTATCGTTGACAAAATGGACATTAATTGTTAAACATTCCACTGATCTTGCATCACGTGAAAATTCATGGCTATGGTGGTTGATAATGGGATTTGGTTAGTATTTTATTATTGATACTACTTCTACATGTTTACATTAATTATACTATATTCACTTTTTAGGAGTGTTGATTTGTGCACGAGCTACTGTTCAATATTTAAACATCAAACGTGGTTGGAGACTACTGCCTGGAAGTGCTCAGGAACGTTTACTCTTTCTTTATTAAGCCATTGAACTTGCACCTTTATTTAACTTGGCTTTAGAACAAACAGCATTTCTATCTGGGGTTGTATTTGTACAATATATAATCTACACCCTTTAAAAATATTACTTTATATTGGCTACATACTATTCTATTATTAGAAGAAAAAATTAAAATTATTAAGACTATTTGCCAAATTTGCTTATACATGAGATAAACAAGCAAGGTAAAAACAGAAATAAAATACTTTTTGCACACTGTTTTATGTATTAGTGTCACATAGATAAAATAAAATGTAAATTTTTATTGCTCAAATAGTATGGACAATGCTTTAATGCGATATATTAATTTATATATTGTTCATTTATACGAATAGATATACGAAATCGCTTCGTAACGTCTGGAATATGTAAGTTTATAATACATAAAATTGGAATTATGAGTAAAACAGATTTATTTTGAAAGGAAAACATATAATCATTGTCCTTAGACAGATATTGAAGTATAAAAGTTCTAATAGTGATATTGTGTAATACCTGCTAGTGCTAGATAAGCTTTTAGAATTTTGAATATATATTGATAATCTGAATTGCTTGTATGTATATATGTGTATATGTATACATACATAAATGTATAAAATAATTGCTGCGTCTATATACATTATATGTTATACTGTCAGAAACTTCATTGTTATATACTTATTACAACAATATAAAAAGCTAATGTGTCTCATATTTTTTATCCATATAGTTATGTAAATATATTTTTCCGTATTGATTTTAATGCAGATTTATATTATTATCAAATATACCAATGGTAGAATATACAAAATAATTGATATTTCTACGTAATTGTATGTCAAATTTTTTAAACATAAATATTAGTTCCATTTCTACCATATAAAATAAAAAACTATGCGATTGGTCCTATGGTGTAATGGTTAGCACTCTGGACTCTGAATCCAGCGATCCGAGTTCAAATCTCGGTGGGACCTTTCCACTCTGTTTTTATTTCCGTGAATAGAATAAAATAAATTTTTTTATAAAGTTTTGCAAAATGTTACTATGTAACAAGAAGTTTCTAAATTTTGATTTTAAATATATTTGCGAGTAATTAACTATTCAAACAAATGCTTCAACTAGTTTTAACTAATATGAAGTTGTATAATGAATTAGTAGATTTTATATGCATATTTCCAAGTTCAAATAGAATAAAGGAAAAAAGTTAAGAATCTAATTAAGAAATTATAAAAATTTACAAATTATTCGTCTTAATATGTTTATTTCCGAAATAAAAATTTGCTCCATTCATGGATACTAAGACGCTAGCATTACATAGCGGTCAAATAGTAGGATCAATCATATATTGTTGTCCTGTTTCACACAATTGCTTTCCTTATTTTATCACTCAACATCTTGCTGTCATACGATATATATATCTGTCTTTATTGTGTTACTCTCCTTGTTCTCGAATGTAGGCGCTGTTATCTTTTGGAAACTCTTGGAACTAAAGTCTATTATCAGCATCGGACAATATATGTTCTGCCATCTGTTGAGTATTTCTTTTTTATTCTTTTTAGTTCCAAACGGAGAGGAAAGGCGGTTAGATGACTACCATTCTTACACAAAGGGCGCAATAATGTGAAACAAAGACAGATATATATTGTGTGATAGACAAAACAGCGATGGTTCACCGCTATGTGGTGATAGTGATTTAATGTCCATAGAACTTTTGACATTAGCAATTAAATAAGATTTTGAAAACCCATTTTATGTATGGATATATATTACTTTAAAATATGGAAAATTCGTCGAAGAGTCAAAACAGTAATTGTGAATACAACCCAATTGTATTTTTAGATATAGCAATTGAGTCAGAAAAAGGTAATATGTGAATATTTGAATTTTAAAATATAAGTTAATTTTTAATTTCCAGTATTTCTGTTATTGTTCTGTTTTACATTTCGTTTCATTAGAAATTTAAAAATAATTTGTATGATATTATGATACAGTTGGAAGAATTGTGATAGAGCTTTTTAAAGATATAGTACCTCGAACAGCTGAAAACTTTCGTGCATTATGTACCGGAGAAAAAGGCATTGGAATCAATGGCAAAAAGTTGCATTACAAAGGATCAATATTTCATAAAGGTATAACAAAAAGGATTAATGTTTCTTGAAGGTAATATAAAAAGTAATATACTTAATGAGAAGAATTTTATATGGTTCAGTGTTATCACAGTTTATGATCCAAGGTGGAGATATAATAAATTTTGATGGAACAAGCGGAGAAAGTATATATGGAACACATTTTGAAGATGAAAACTTTAAACTCTCTCATTCATCAGAAGGATTATTAAGCATGGTAAATGAGGGTTATCCAAATAGCAACAGTTCTCAGTTTATAATTACTATTTCAGCTGTTACACATCTAGATAATACCAATGTAGTATTTGGTAAAGTTTTGAAAGGAATGGGTGTTATATTAGAAGTAAGTCAAGTTCAAACAGTTAAGGATGTACCAATGAAGGTTAATATATATTTTTTATAGTTTCTTTTGTATTTGAGTTAGTTTATTAATAAATAGATGAATATTTTATTGTAGTATCACAATATTTTGTTATAGAAAATACATATAATTGATTGTGGAGAGTTAAAACATGAAAATTGGGGTATGGAAGAAAATGATGATACTGAAGATGTGTTCACTCCATGGCCAGAAGACTGGGATTATTCCAAAGATATTGAAAGACTCAATGTAAGAATCTTATTATTGGGTTACAGGTTTTTGAAAAAGAATTTCTTTTCTAATAGATATTCATGGATATTTATAGTACAAATATATAATGGACGTTATTAAGAGGATAAAAGATTCAGGAAATTGTTATTTTTCACGAAAAAATTATGTAGATGCAGGCAGAAAATATAAGAAAGCATTAAGATATTACAAATGGATGATAAGGACAGTAGATGTATCAGAGTCTTCCAATGAATCAATGTTGAACATTAAAGCAACATTATTACTTAATCTTGCAGCTGTTAAATTAAAACAAAAGAGTTATCGTGAAGCTTTAAAGCTTTGTTCAGAGGTAAAATTTAATTGAATTTGTTATAACTTTCAACTGTTGTTTAATAATAATTTTACATCTAGGTTTTACAAATAGATAAGAAAAACAGTAAAGCACTATTTCGAAGAAGTCAAGCATATATGGGACTAAATGAGTATGATTTAGGTTTAGCAGATTTGAAGCAAGCATCATTAAAATCTCCCAATAATAAAGATATTTTATTAGAAATTGATAAAGTAAAAAGAGTTATAAATTCGTATTTAGCTATTGAGAAAGCTTCTTACCAAAAAATGTTTAAATAACAGAAGTATTTTGCAAAAAACTTGTAAATATAATAAAATTTTTTATATATTTTATATATTTTGAAGTAAAAATATTGCAAACAAAATCATACATATACATGTTTATACACAATACTAATGCTTTTTAATAATATTGTAAAGTAATTGTTATTGTGTGTTAAAGTAATTGTATATGTGTTAGCTAAAATTATGTAAAAATTTTTACATAAAATTTAAATGTAGTACATAAATAAATATCTGTGTTTATTTTTATTTTTTTGATAAATACCATTTATTTTGATTTAAGCATTTTTTTCTTTATTCAATAACAATCTTTGTGTAATCTGTATAAAAGAAACAAAACCATAGTAGATTTTATTTAAAAATAAAAACATAATGGATATTATTGTTAAAAATATATTTTGTATTTGTTAAATATTACTAAGTATGAAAGGAACATATGAAGCATGCTTATATCACATCAAATATTCATTTTGTATATTTTTATAAATTATTTTACAAATTTGATCACATTTAATTATTTTTTATCGTAATTCAAAATAATGCATTTTAATATAGAATTTTGTGATATTATAAAAAAAAGAAACAATGTACGTATGGATCATATACAGAATTCAATTATATAAAAGTAAATTATTATAAACATATACTCAATTATATGACTTATTTATTTAACATTTATATTAAGTTCTTAACAATTCTGAGCATTGAAGTGTTATGTGACTTGTAGATGTATGTCACACAAAATAAATATAAGATATAGTTTTAATAGGAGCTTACACATAGTTTCTTTCATTATAATAATATTCTTACAGTAGCAGCGATTGAAATATTTCCAATAACAAAACTCAAGCAATGTACATATATTTAAAAGAATTATTACAACGTTCTTTGTCATAAGTAAAAACTCATATCCTTTAACAATTATTTGTTTGTCGTTGAAAGATTTTATTTGTTTCAATAACACTGTATACCTATATAACAAGTTTTAGTTAATATCTACAGTAATTATATGTAGGAGCTTTTGCAATGACTAGACTAAAAATATTTTTATTATTACCTATATTTTGCAGCAATAATTGCAGTAATTAATTTTTTCTAAGGGTCACAGTTTTCAATAAATAGATAAATAAATAAATCAACAATCAATAAATAAAAAAATAATGCATAAAAATAATAACTATCTAAGTAGTATTATTCAAGAAACTTTTTAACAAAACTCAAATCTGCTATTAATAAGGAATGTGTTTTATATATCAAAATTCTCTCTTACATCTTCATAAATACTTCAATCTGAGAATTGACGAATAATATTGGAATTTATAACATTGAATGCATGATTCTTGTGCTGTACAGTAATATTTTTATGATGCTTTTTAGAGAAGGAGCAAAGCTTTTTGTAAAACATATAACATTCTTAATACATACTTTATACATCGGCGAACTTTTTAAAAACCAGATATGTGGACGGAAAAATTTCAAAATTGCTTCAATGACTATGATGTGTACATAATGAATCAACTTAGTGACATGATTGTTTAAAATTAGTTTAGATATCTTTCTTTTAGATGCATTTTATGGTAATTATTTGAATTGTGATAAATCTGATTTTAAAATATTTGAAACATAACAAAATTAAAAGCATTCAATTTTGTTTAATGAAGATAATTAAGACTAGTCTCTGAACATATGTACAGTGAGTATTTTTAGTTAAAAATGTATTATCTTCATTTATGAGTTTTACTATTCATGAGAATTCACATTTGTTTCTTCTTAAGGCTTTCAACTTTGCACCTTCATTCTTTTTGTAATTGTTTTGTCTATGTCTTCTCAGATTAAAGTTATTCCTTTTCAATTTCTTCTGAATCATTTTCCTTTTCTAAATTTGCACAATTTTCTGTTGTAATTTCTGTTTCAATCAGATTATGTAACTCTTTACATAGTGTTTCTTCACAAACTTCACCATTTATAACAGCATTATCAATTACATCATATTCATGTTTTACATCATGTTCCACTACATCCTTGAAATCAGGTTCTATAATCTCTTCACAACTTTTAAACATATCAGGATGTTCTGTTGAATTCAATAATTCAGGATTTTCGTTAGAGTTTAATATATCAGTATTAACTTCATCATCTGTCGTATCAGTGGACTGAGACACTTTTTTTAATACACTATCAATCAAATTAGATGCAAAACTTCTGTTTTCATTTCCTTCATGAATTGTTTGATGAATCGGCAAAGTTTGTGGTCTATGTGGTCGTGCATAAGGAAACATATGTTCTTCACCAGCTGGAGTATGAACAGCTGATATTTCCGTCTGTGTGGCAACACCATTATCAATAAGATTGGCTTTTGATTGCATATTCGACATACATCGTTTTATTTCTGACATAGAGTCTTGTAATTGTTGAACCTAATCATATATTAAAATTTAAAAAAGATATATCATAATAAAGAAATATCATTAATGTTCTAAAATGGATTACAAAATATAATTAATGTTACCTGAGTATGCAACATATTACATGTTTGTGCTAGATTGGTTACAACATCTACATTTTGTGCAATATTTTCATTATCAGTGTTTGTAGAATCTCGATTAACAGTAGGTTGAAGACTAACAACTTTTTTCCACAATGCATTAATTGCTTGCATTTGTAATAATTGTAGTTTATGTTCACTTTCTAATGCAGTTCGAGTAGCTTCCATATCAGTAGAGAGTTTCCTTAAAAAAAAGAAAGATTAATAAACCATATATTCTGAGAACGATATTACATTTATTGAATGAGAAAATGAAAATCATACTGGATATATTTATTTGTTCTTATCATTTCAATAGTTTTCAATATGGTAGTTGCTTTTTTATTAAGATTTCTAGTATGATACCCTCTCCACATCCTTTGAATACATATTGCTGCTTTTTCAGCTTCATCTTGATCTATTTTAAAAATATAAAATTATTAAGCTGTTTAATTTATTAGGAAAACTTATCTTCGTATTTATTATTTTCTGTTTTTGAAGAAACATTTATTATCTTTATTATCTACCTTTATTATCTTCCTGTCTTCTTTGAATAGCTCTATGTCGAATGCTATCCAATTTTGCTTGACATACTTCACTATCTTCATCACTGCTTTGAGTAGCATTATCTGCATCACCATTTCCATTCTTTTTAATAACACTACTTTTTATTTTATCATTTGCACTTTTTGGTCTTTGTATATTCCTGCCTAAGTTTGGTGAATTTTTTGTATTTCGTTTAGCAGGTAATGTCTTGCTTTGAACGTAATTATTGATTTTCACACTATGTGGACATTTAGTGTTAGTATTTGTAATAATAGGTTTAGCAATATTTGGTTTTACAGTACAATTTGTTGCTGAACTGCTTTTTACGAGTGCATTTGCTTTTATAGCAGCAAGATTTGTTTTTGCCATTGGATTTACTGTATTTATTATGGGAATAGCTTTACCATCTCCATCAGAAATAGGTTTGATTGGCATTGTAATTTGACATGGTGATGTTAATTTACTTGGTGGAGTTTTTGCTGAAACTCGAGAAAGGCCAGACGGTGGACGAAAATCTGGACTCATTAAAGATTCTGGAACTGGTACTAATTTTGTTGCAGCTTGCAGAGGACTTGATGTGTCTGCAAATCAAATTTTTAGTTAGTACATTTAATAAATGACGTAATAACAAATTTATTATTTTACCTTCTGCATCTTGTGAAATAGTATTTGATGTTTTATTGTTTAAAGTACCACAAAGCATATTTGGATCCAAACTTTGAGTCATCAAAGATTCCTGATCTTCATTTAGTAAAGTATGGCATGAAGAAACTATAGCATCAGTGTGACAACTAGATACCATTCTATCAGGTGACCTTATTCTTAATGAATTTCTTGATGAACCTAATTAAATATTGTCTACTTATATTTGCTATTAATTTCATTTATTATCATATATTTAACCATATTTGAATTCTTTATGACTAATTTGAGTAGCAAAAGCATGCAAATAATATTTGACTAAGAACAAACAATATAAGGTGTGAACTATGTGAAATATATTTCCAAATCGTCAAATGCTAATTTGCTAAAGAAATTTTCTAATTAGCATCATTACATTGCTGTTTTTTTCATTCTCCAAAGTCATTTGCGCTATAAGCTTAAAAACGTAATCACTTAAAAACATACTATTTACTAGGCATAGAAGACATAAACATGTGCATTAATCTAAGAAAAAAATTTTCCATAATATACAGCATTATACACAGTACTATGTTATTATCTAACTTTTATTTTTAATTAGCTTTATAGATATAAGATAATATTTGTCTCAGATTTTTACACATGTCTATAATGCAATTATAGCTGTGTATGATTAATTTCCATCTTGACTTTGGATACCTTTACAAGGTGAATGGCACACACAGTACTTTGCTTCATAAAATTTTGGTGACTGTAAGCATTTATCTTCATAGTATGTCAACATTGGCGCAACTAGAGAAAACACATTATAACAAGGACATATAGGTGCATGACGACTGGAAAGTGTACATCACTACTAGTCCACGTTTTACGATTACAAGAAAAACTTTACAGAAATATGTATTATACTTGCAACAATAGTGAAAAAAAATGAAAAATTAATTAACTCACTGGTACGTCTAGGCGAACCTGTCCTGTTATGACTAAGTCTACGCCTAGTAGCTGGAGAAGGACTCATTCCAACGCTATTTAAGCTGTGCACACTTCCAGTATCACTTTGTTGATTTAATTGCTGTTGATGATGTTGTGCTTTACTCAAAATTAGTCTTAGCTTCCTGTCAGTTTCGTTTTCTAAGGATTCACCAGAAAGTGGGCAAACAGATGCTAAATACTGTGCTAGTAGTGCATGTTCGCCAACACGGAATTGTCTACCACGTCCCTGAGAATATAGCCACTCTGCCTTTAAACTGAGTGGCCATCATTTCAAGTAAATTTTAATTCTTTAAAAACTGAGTAAAGCTCTATATATATGAAATAACCAATATATCTAAAAAGTCACCCACCTTTCAATAGGATCGACAGGATAGCCATCAATTGATTTCAAGCTCATACACCAATTGATAACAAAAGGTCGATAGTCAAAACCACTATAAGCTATTTGTTAAGAAGCTATAGCTGGAAATCTACAGATAGTATAAATGTTTTTGTTTTATATGTACCTAGCTGTCTACAAGCATAATGTTTCATTGAAATATTCTATGTGATAACACATTCAGAATAAGAAGAAGATGTTGTAAAACAGTTTCTGCTATATATCACTAATTGACTTCTAAAATCTAAATGAATATATTAATTTGTATTACACAATTATGAAAAGGATACATACTGTTACCTGTCATACTAACACATGGATTATTAGCAATTGAAAAATTTATCACATTTTTCAAATTAGCTAAATGTGACATTTCATTCAAATCTGTAATGTTATTGTTTGCCAAAGTAAATGTTTCTAGCGAGGTAGGTAAATAGCGTTCACACTGCCTTAATGTTATTATGCGATTGTTATGCAAAAAGAGTTCCTAAAAGATTGTTAATTTCATTAAAATTACAGTTGAAGATTATTATACACATATTTAATGAAAATAAAAATTAATCTCACCTTTAAATTTCGTAGATAAGATATATCTGAAATGTGACTGATACTATTTTCAGATAAATCTAAATGCTCCAACTTAGTATTGGTATGCAAGTGTTCAATGGACTGCAAGTTAATAGATTCGATAATTATAAAAAAATATATATTAAACTTGTATTTATCATACCTTTATGTTATTGCCTGCTAAGCAAAGTGTTTGTAAGTTTATCATATCCTTTATGCCTTCTATAGTCAAGATACCATTATTTGCTAAATTAAGAGTTACTAGATTATGTAACTTGGACACCCCATACATACGAAGCAATTGATTCCTTACTATTGACAGCTGAAATAATATAATTAGCAATCGTTTAAACATTATTTGTTTGCTATGACATTAAGAACTATGATTAAAATGTATGTGGTAATAAGAAAAATATAAAAAGA